GGAGCTAGATACGAATTAGCGTGTGGCTTAGGGAGCCGAGTTTATACGCGAGAAAACGTGAGCTCTGGGAGCTAGATACGAATTAGCGTGTGGCTCAGGGAGCCGAGTTTATACGAGAGAAAACACATGAGCTCTGGGAGCTAGATACGAATCAGTAGCGTGGCTCAGGGAGCCGAGTTTATACGCGAGAAAAGACGTAAACTCTGAGAGTTAGATACGAATTAATAACGTGGCTCGGGAACCCGAGTAAAGAAGGTAATGAATATGAACCCGGGCACATACGTGGTCTAATTCTCCAAAGTTTTAAAATTTCATTTACGTTCTCGATAGGCGATACTCTCATTTCTATAGTTGATTTTAAGCGCTTTAGGGTTCCCTTTGATTGCAACTTTATTGTGCCGTTTCTATCTCGTATTCACTTTCTATGTCTGACCAATATAGTATGGTATATACTAATTTCGGTAGTCTACACGGTGTATAAAATGCAAATGCCTTTCCACATTTTGGCGCATATTTTCACAATACACTTAATTGCGGGCCTGTTATATCACACCTTTCTTTGTCCGATTCCTTTTAAATTTCGTCTTTGTTTTCGAGGGTCTCTTATTAATAGAATTGATCGCAACACGTTGATCTTTGTTTAGGATTTTATATAGCGACGGTTATTCATTTCCTTTTTCTTTTCTCCCGTTTGCCTTTGTTTGGCCACTTAGCCCGAGCAACAAGACAGGATGACGGAATTAGAGAGGAAGCTTCAGGCTCTCGAAGCGAGGCAGCGGTGGAGTGATTAATCACTGAAATTGAAATAAATTTGTTTGTTGAATGGTTGGATCTCTAGTGTCTCGCGCTTTATTCTCGCTCCTGGTTGACTCTAGGGGGGCCTTCTCAGTGCCTCAATTCTGGTCTTACTATCGGAGCCTGGGGTCAACGAGGGGTTGGGGGGTCCTCATACCAAGTTTTAAAACGCGCTTCGTTTTCTCTTTTTTCAGAGCGTATTTGAGTCTCTCCTCTCCCGCCTTCTTCAGACCACAGAAACCTTTGAAAGAAAATACTGTAATGTGTTTGGGGAACCCCAGCCTTTCGTTGACCCCTTGGTCCCCCCGGAGTTGATCGTAGCCAGCCCCGCCTTAGCCGATATGAAAACGAGTGTTGAGTGATGGATTAGTAAGGATTCCCCGGCACAATTAGGCCTGTTTCGGCAATAAAGGACAGTTGTCGAGTGACGAGGTTTGAGTGTTGGAATGATCAATTGAGGGGTCTATGGCCAGGGACCTTTCTTCCTTACTGGAGAAGAAGCAGAGGAGCGGATCTTGCCCCATAACTTAATTACTGCGACGTGACAATGGTATTCAGTGAGGATATAGTACTGTTTCAGTTTTGAATAAAGATCTATCCAATCTTCAAGATTGGTTTCGTGCTAACAAACTAACAGTAAACCTTACAAAAACAAAATATATTCATTTTGGTTCAAAACAACAAATGAAAAATGTGATGGTTGACGAGTGAGACTTAAATTTAACGCTAGGGCAGCCTATAAAAAAATACCAATATAAAATTTATTGGACTTATTTTAGAGGAAAATCTATCTTGGAACACTCCAGTTGACTCATCATGCCGTAAAATGCAAAGTCAATAGGAGTTCTCTATAGAGCTAGACATTGTTATATTAGATATACTGAAAAATTTATACTATAACCTCGTCTATTCATATATTTCCTATGGAACCCAATTATAAATCAAGAATCTTGCCAATCCATATATATACAAAAACGTGTCCTTCGAATCATTACCTTTTCTGACTCTAAATCCCCTAGTAGACCTTTATTTCAAAAGCTTGAAATATTAAACATCTTTGAAGTAGTAAAATTACAGCTCGCTGAATTGACCTACAGACTTTAAATAATCTATTACCAATTACATCATCTAATTTCTTTAATGATGTACATTGTGTTAAGGATGTACAAAAACTAACAAAAATAATTTTTTTCCTCGAAAAAAATAAAATTATGGTCAGTTCGGTGTTCAGTATGCAGCAGTTGGTAACTGGAATGACATTCGACTAGAAATTGAAAATTCTTCATCCCTTAGTGTTTTTAAGAAAAAAATTAAAACCTTACTTCTTTCCTCGTATAACCCAAATTTTTTTCTTGATGTGTAATTATATCAATATTGAAAACATTTTTTTTTCATCATCTTTATTGGTCTTTGCAATCTCCACGCTTCATACTATCTATTTGTTGATTAGTCCTGAGTGCAAGAGTACCTTGGTTAACCCGTTTGGGTTGTCTCTCTTGCACCGTCCACCTTTTCATTTTATTTTTTTTCTTATTGTAATTTATGTATTTGTCGTAAATAAAAACCTTTGAACCTTTGAACCTTTGAACATGATAGTTACACGTGACATAGTTACTTACACAACTCGATGATAATAGTGTCTACTACTTTGTAGTAGACACTAAAAACAGCTGCCTGCAGATAAATCAATGAAGTGATATTTTGCACGCAAAAATTTCTGGGGAAAATATTTTACATTTTTTTCTAATTATAGGTAGTCATTGGTACCTAAAATCCTTGGTAGAGTAATTGTTAATTTGTATAGGTAACAGGGCTACATGCTGTACAATTCGGAAATAATTGGATGAAAAAAATTCCGAGGACTGACAAAATAGAAAGAGGCCGATAGGCCGAGTCCAGTTTGGCAGTCGCAGGATTTTTTGAATTCAATTATTTCCAAATTGGATAGACATGTAGTCCTATTGCGAATTAATCATATGAAAGTATTCCAAAGAGCTCATTGACGGGGATATCTTCTAAGCGCCTTTTTATTGATTGTCTTGCCAACCTCCAGCAGTCAAATATTCAGCCAAGTGGAGGTACTTTTCTTCGTGTTTGCGCATTGCACAATTGCGCATTGCGCATTGCGCATTTCATTCAAACTATCCTCAGATACTTCGGGAAATCTGTTAATTGATTCCATGTCAACCGTTTTTTACGGCAAAAAGGCCTTTAAAAAAAGACCCCAAACTACCTCCGCTGTTTTGAAAAAAATTACGAGACAGGAAAAAGTTAACAAAGCCGACTGGCAAGCGAAAGTCGCGCGCTGATTGGTTCAAAGTCAATTTCTATTGTTTCTCCTGAGTTTTGATTACTTAGTAATTGGACAATTCAGACAATCAGCTCTGGCCAAGAAAAATACGAATAGAAACAATCCAAATTAATCTTTAATTTGGACAGGAAAGAGAACTTGAAAATAATACAATAGTTGCTTATATTATTATAAGGGGTTCAAATAGACACTATAAAAGAAAACAATGGGTAAGGGTCTGTCTACTAATTAACAATTAGACTAAGAGGTCGAGTTTTGTATGACTCATGGAAAACGAGAACGAGTAGTCTAATTGTTTTAGCATGAACCTACCAGCTAATATTAAAGTTTTGGAAGAAAAAAAGACACTGAAAACTTTACTGAACAAAATGACGGTCAACTGGCAGCACTGTTTTCAGTCATCTTTGTGAGCTAGACTCAGATCATTCAAAGCCGTGCCATGTTTAAAATTTGCTTAAGCTTTATGTCAGTTAGTTTGCACTTTCTTTAGTGTTTTGTCTGTTCTTACCGTTTAAACTTATTCTTTAATACAAGTGAATAAGTTGTTTTCTGGATTTCTTTGTTGTTTGCTTAAAGCTTTTAAGATGCCATCGTTCTCTCAGTAGTCATTTGTTTGTCTATATTAAATACGCAGCCCGTAAAGTCCTCCACTGCTCATGATTGTGAAGCGCATTGAGACCATGTCAAAATGCGTTATATAAGAACCCCGTTATTATTATATTAAAAGTTTGCACATGAAAATTTTAATGAAATCCGACGGCCGCTTTTTCTTGTTAAAACTGCCATAATTCTTCAGTTTTTAATTTATCTGTACTTTCCAAAACCTCCATTTACTTTCCTTGATACAGTCTTGTATTTTCTACAATCGATTTTTAAAGATTTTTAAAGAGAACAAACAGAGATTTTGACGAAACTTGAGCATGCATTTGTTTGTTTTTCGCTACTCGCTATCTACCACAGGATAGATAGCGAGTACATTAGCCAATCAGATTGCAGGATTCGTGATAGTATGCTAGTAAATTTATGCTAGAGGAGTGAATCAGTGACACATTTGCATATTCAATCCCCTCCCAAATTAATTAATTTAGAGACTTTTAGCATCAAGTTTACCGCTTACCGCTAACCACTAACCGCTAGAGATCAGGTACAGAAACATGCCTAAAAACACGGAGAAAATGTCGGCATGAATGAAATTCAATATGGCGGCTCTTCCAGCAAAAACTTCGTTATGACACCTTACTTATGTTGAAAGTTTTACGCATGACATCGTAACTGCAGTTTGACATTTGCGTTACCTAGCAAGAACGTCATGCTAAAGGTCTCTAATAACTAGTTTCTACGCTGCGCGTATCCACGAGTTAAAAACGGGAGGGGTAAGGGTAGTGGTGGGAGGCGGCTGTACACAGGCTAACTGTAATAACTTCTACTGTTAGACTCACCTTAATGGGTTTTGTAAGGCTGCTAAGATATGATGGTCAGAAGAAATAAAATGAAGTTCTAGTGATGTGATATTTACTAGTGAAGTGTACGAATATACTGACGTACGAATAGAGTAATAATTCAGCACTCAGTAACTTTGTGTTAAACAAATATTAATCTTTGTCTTCGTTTTGGTAGATGGAATATTAATGGCCTCACAATGTCTAAATTTGATCAAATAAGACTATTTATGTTGGACAGTGACAACCGCCCGCAGATCGATATTTTGTCAATCAATGAATCTGCCCTGAAGACTTCAATTCCTGACTCGCTTTATGCTATCCCTGGATTTTCAATGCATCGTCGAGACCGCAAAGGAATTAAAAAGAAAGGGGAAGTTTTGGTGTATATCAACGAGGTGAAACACCGAAGAAGGACTGATCTCGAGGACTCGAATATTGAAGCAGTTTGGTTGGAAGGTTACCCATTTAAATCTAAGCGCCCGATTTTGTTCGCTGGTGTTTATCGTCCACCTTCAAATTCTAAAGAAAAAGATGAACTGCTTGAAAAGAATATTGAATCTGCCTATTTACTTAACCTCGAGACAATAGCTATCGGAGACATTAACGTAAACTACCTGGCTTCCTCAACTTTTAAAAAACATTGTTTGGTTCGCGCACTTACTAGCATGAATTTTAAACGGCTTGTGACTCAGGTAACAAGGCCAATTAGTAAAACTTGCCTCGACCATGTTTTTACAAATCGTCCCGAGAGGATTCATTCTGTATGTGTCAGGAATTCAGGATTAGCGGATCATTTGCCCGTGTTCGCAGTGTTCAAGATGGAAAGATTTAACGAGACACAGTTCTTAGCAACTCTACAAGAGATCCCCTGGGACACTTCATTTATCTTTGACTCTGTTGATGATATTCTTTGCGCTTGGGAGGATTTATTCAACAAAGCACTTGATAATCACTGTCCTTGGCGGGGAAAAAGAGTAGCGCGAGAGAAACAGGCTCCCTGGATGACGAATGAAGTTTTGAGACATCTCCAGAAGAGAGATTCGCTTCTTAAAACGGCCAGAGTCTCTGCTTCGCTGGATGCCTGGGAAAACTACAAGTCTGCAAGAAACAAAGCTACTAACTTGATTAAGACCGCGAAGTTCAAGTTCTACGACAACTGTTTTGAAAATAGCAAGGGAGATTCTAAGGGTATTTGGAAGACGATAAAATCACTAACTGGCACTAGTAATAAGTCTACAAAATCAGATGGTATGACTGCAGATGAGTTTAACTTTCATTTTTCCTCTATTGCTGATCGTTTAAGGAGCTTGTTACCCAGAATACCTTTTGGCATTTCAAAACTTGAACATTTTGTTCTTTCCAGAAAGGATCCTGACGTCAAATTTTCCATCCCTCCATTAACCAAAGGATTTGTCGTTGATTGTCTTCGGAATCTAAATTCTAATAAAGCAACGGGAGTTGATAAATTCAGTGCACGAGTACTGAAGATTGCTGCACTAGTTATTGTTTCATCAGTTACAAAACTTATGAACTATTCACTTGGTTCTTCTGTGTTTCCAAAGCGCTGGAAAACCGCTAAAGTGACCCAATCGTTTAAGGCGGGAGATCGTGGAGATCCCAGTAATTATTGCCCGATCTCAGTTTTACCAATCTTGTCCAAGATCGTGGAGAGACATGTGCATAACCATCTTTATGATTATCTAAATGACAACAACTTGCTATACGCTCGTCAGTCAGACTTCCGCAGACAACATGGAACTGAGCGACTGCTCTCATCAAATTAGTTGATAAGTTGTTATTCAGTTTTGATAGAAATCGAGTGAGCGGATTAGTTCTAATCGACTACTGTAAAGCATTTGACATGGTAGACTACCAAATTCTACTGGAAAAGCTAAAGACATATGGAGTGTGTGAAAGATCAGCCCAATACTACTTTTGCTGTTCATTAACCGCAAAGTAATATTCATTGAAGCGAAGCAGCATTGTCATTAGAGCGAACAGGCATACAATAAGGCGAACGGAGTCTCAATAGTGCGATGGAACCTTCATTAAGAAATTTAGCATTGAATTTGACAATCATGAATATGTTTGCGTGGATTCATTAACGTTTTCAAACTTTCATTAGCGTTTTGGTGCAGACAATAAACCACAACACACATTCAATACAGCGTTTTGGACATTTATTTACGCAATACAATATAAGTATATTGTGCTTTTACGATTGTACATTTTCAAAAACATAAAAGTGAATTTATCCTTGAATGTGTTCTCTATTTAAACATCTTGGACGATATGTTTGCTTGTGGTTGTACCATTTTATGCATTTCTGTGGATCTTCATAGGCTCTCACAAGACGCTATCTGACTTCATTTGGAATTTGGTTTCTTTGYTGAGCCATTGCAATATCCAAAAAAGAGGGATTAAAAAACTCAGAACTGACTTGATATTAATACGGCGCATTGTTTGTACGAAATCATATTCACGGCTTGTAAAAAAATTTAAAAAAATGAAAAGACAGTTAAAATCCTACAATTCCTAGTGGAAAATATACTTATATTGTATTGCGTAAATAAATGTCCAAAACGCTGTATTGAATGTGTGTTGTGGTTTATTGTCTGCACCAAAACGCTAATGAAAGTTTGAAAACGTTAATGAACCCAAGCAAACATATTCATGATTGTCAAATTCAATGCTAAATTTCTTAATGAACGTTCCACCGCACTATTGAGACTCCGTTCGCCTTATTGTATGCCTGTTCGCTCTAATGACAATGCTTCTTCGCTTCAATGAATATTCCTTTGCGGTTAATGAACAGCAAAAGGTGTATAATGCTATGATAAAACCAGTGTTTAGTTATGCTAGCGTTGATTGGCAAACATCATGTACTAAAGACTRTCTGTTATGGATTCTGCGCCTACAGAAAAGAGCAGCAAGAGTCATACTTAATGCTGAGTCAAGAGCACATTCAGTACCGTTATTTAATAAATAGCGCAGCGCAGCCGTGACGTCATAAAAACGAAGACAAAGACGAAATTCGGGCAAACAAACTTACAAGTTTACTTTCAGCAGATAATTTTCACAACCGATCGCAGTTGATCTTAGTTTACATGGGTTATTATCGTAACTTTAAGTAAAAAATCGGTTCGTATAATCCTCGTAGCGGTTAAACAGAATGCAATGTTTGTCAGAATCTTTAAGCTATTTTTAGAATCAGCGCGCAGCGCTATAGCCCGCTTCCGAGATATGCTTCGCTTGTCACGCACAAAGGTTTCAGTACGAGGCTACGTGCTAAATGCTCAGTCATTCGTGACAGGCGGTAAGGATATATTTAATTTAGCACGTAGCCTCATACTGAAACCTTTGTGCGTGACAAGCGAGGCATATCTCGGAGGTGGGCTATTGGAGTGGCTGCCTTTCTTCATWGATACKTACAGTCGATTTAATAAACGTTGTCGTCGACCGGCTCAAGCCGACGCGACTGGACCGAAAGAAATATGGGTAAAAATCACTGAAGCTGTTGAATAGTCGTTCTGAATTAATTATTTCCGCTATTAGTAAAGGTAATAATGGTGAGGAACAAAGTAGTAATAATTCAGTTCACAATTTCGAAAATGGGGTACTATCGTCGTGTACGGATTAACGAAGTACGTCATAGGTTTCCGAACACACGAGTGGGACATAGAAATTTTGGTTCTCCTCACTAGAAAAAAAATTAAGTGAAGATACCAAGAATCGAACTCGGTACCTTCGGCACCAAAGAACTACTACAATGCCAACCCCAACCCTAACCCTAACCCTAACCCTAACCCTAAACCTAACCCCTAGACCACGAAGTGAATTCAGTTGGGTGGTCTCATTTTTTAGTCATATTTAAACGATGTATCATCAGCGCGTGCACATAAATATTTATTATAGTTTAATTTATGCTATCGCAGGGTACGATTACTAGCCGATTACTCGAAATTTGAATTTGAATAGAATTCCCCTGACACTTCCCGTACACGACGATACAACCGAAAATGGGAAAGGCATTAATAAAAAAACGTTTCAACTCTTTCCGCTCGAGCTCCTGCTGTATACCATAAAACCATAATTAATCAGATAAAACTATGCAGTCAATCGCTTCAATGATTTTTTCCCAGATTTCCTCTCGGTCCAGTCGCGTTGGTTGTTTGACGGCAACGTTTTTTGAATCGACTGTATATCTCAAAGTGTACATTACTATATAAGAGAACACAGCATGCTGTACCTAAGTAGCTGATAGAGGCTCTAAAACTGAACAGTTCTGTACATTCTACACTAAATTTTCAAGCTTAAATTTTATTACACCACGCTATAATAGGAAGACTGAAGGAGGAAGAACATTYATAGTTAGCGCCATARAAAAATGGAACAATTTAAGTGCGGACATWAAAAAACAAGCAAHAGTTCAATYGTTTAAACGCGCTCTTCACGGTAAATTTCTCGAAGAGCAGACTTTTTTGCCACATTTCTATCCATAGTTTCCTTTTTTTTTTTTTATTTTTTTATTTTTTATTTTTTTGTAGTAAATGATTTTTATATTAGTAATTTTCTTTTCATTTTATTCAATTTTACCCTTTTAAATTTATAATATAGATAGATTCCTGTTTAATTTGGCTGTGAAGTTTGGCGGCGTCGTGTTCATGGGGCGGCGTTTCGACGTTGCTGAAGTATATTATTTTACGTTCACTGCGTCGTCYGCGTGAGCGTGGTGTCGCTGAGCTTCACAGTTGAATTTATATATAGTTAATTTTAATCTTCATGTAATGTTTTATTATACTATAGTCAATTTTTCTAACAAGTTCGTGTTCTTAGTTGATATTACATATATTTTATATTTTTTAATTTGTAAATTTTAGTAGATTTATATTGAGGGCCACAAGTTTATTAGTGTAGTACACTATTTAGTGCCACCTCATTAAATAAAGTTGTTATTATTATTATTATTATTATTATTATTATTATTATTAATCAATGTCCCTTTTATTATTCAAACAAATTATTAGAAGAATAGTTATCAAAAAGATGTCAGAGGACAAAAGTTATTCAAAAAGTTATTTGGAAAGTATAAYTTTTTCAAAAGCACGTGCCTGTGGAATGTTGTGAAATTGCCTTGATTGACATCCACAAAAACCGAAAAATCGAAAAAAGTCTTATGTATTTAGTAGATAATACCATGATCACCTCGGTTTCCATTGTTTTGGAGGGACGTGTAATCACTAACATCCCTCCCCCATGAATAGATAGAGGGAAACTTAGTTTCTAATACTCCATCATTAATATGGATGAGGGAGTATTAGTTTCTAATACTCCCTCATCCATATTAATGAGGGAGTATTAGAAACTAAAACTCCCTTATGTTATTCATGAGAGGCTGTCCCTCATATCAATCCTCGGGACACTAAGCTAAAAAGACTTGTCTAAAAACAAGTGCATGCATAATGATAAAGGGTAAATTACACCTATTTCAATAAACGTACCCATCGCCAAAGGCGATAGGTAATAGTCGATATACAGTAAAAACCAGCGTATAAAAACCTAGTGGTTTAAGAACCTGCTGGCAGACATTTGCCATTTTAATACCCAAAAATATAAGAACCTGTTTAGCCAAGCAAGATCTAGCAGGTTCTTATATGTGGATTTATATATATATACACAGCCATTTGCAAAAATTATGGCCGATACCGAAATATCAATATATCAAAATATCGATATATATCGACGTGCACCATGGGGAGGAATTAACCTTCTTTATACGCTAAATATGTATAGCTACGACCTTCGGAGTCGAGTCATTTGGCTCAAGTTTGGCTTACTATATAGAACCAATAAAATTGTTAGAGTTTTGAAGCTATCTTACAGGACTGTACGGCGAATTATAAGAAAATTTACCATGACAAGGTTAGTGAGCTGTGGTACCGTAGGAAGGCCACGTGAGTCTTCTCTTCATCCACATGAAAGGTTCGTAATCATGGAAGCAGTTCTGCAAAACCCTTCTTTAACACTCCGAGAACTGCACTACGAAATAAGTAGGGCAACAGGAAGCAATCATCACCTTTCAACAGTCTTCAGGAACTTGACAAGGTTCGGAGTAACGCGAAAATTGGGGTCGGTGTCCACTGGTAGAACGAAGCTTTGGATTGGACAAAATAACAAAAACAAAGAAAGCATGGAATATGGTTAACAATGTGTATTGTTCTACATGCGAGCTGCGTTCTTTGTTTTATCTCACCATTCATTGTTTGTTCATCCACTCCCAGGCTTCGTTCTGCCCGTTGTGGATTACCCGAAAATTGGTGAGTTTAACGCGAGAGTAATTTTTTACGCCCCAGAAATGCTGATTTTCATCGACGAATCTGGATTTGTAAGTCAGTATAAATACTAATGTAAACAATTTATTTTCATTTTTTACTAAAAGATGTTCTTGGTTATGAATATTAAAAATTATATTTACTAGGATACAAGGCTACAGAGAAGATACGGTTATTCGTTCAGAGGTTTGCGAGCAGTTGTAAGAAGATATTTTGTACGCACCCCCCGACTTTCTGCTTTGGCTGCTATTGGAGTGGATGGACTACGTGCAGTCAAAGTGTATCGAAACAGCATTAAGGCCGACAAATTCATCAAATTTCTTGAACGTGACATTGTACCATTGCTGCAGCCATATAATGGTATCAATCCGAACTCGATAGTAGTGATGGGTAAGAAATACTTCATTTCCCCAATGAGTGAACTATGAATTATGATTCCCACTTATTACCAT